CATTTGTAACAACCCTCTGCTTTCTTCCATCCAGCCACTCTTCTATCCAATTTGCTAACTTATCCCTCACACCTATAAAACTAAGGTTTTTTACAAGCCTTTTATGTAACATCTTGTCAAATGCTTTCTGAAAATCCAGATACACCAAATCTACACCCTTACCTTCATCTACATAAGCAGTAACCTTTACAACGAATGCTAAAAGATTTGTAAGGCAAGATTTTCCCTTAGTAAAACCATGTTGACAATCCAATAAAATTATAAACTTGGTTAAATGACTTTGCAAAGCACCTTTTAACAGAATTTCCCACAACTGATGTAAGACTACTGGGTTTATAATTACTGGGACAATTTTTATCACCTCCCTTGAAAAGAGGAGTTACATTAGCTAACTTTCAAACCTCTGGTACTCGCCCACTATTCAAGGACTGACAAAAAAAAATAGTAGCAAGTGGCTCAAATATTCAATCTTTAACCTCCTTCAAAACCCTTGGGGAAATATTATCTGGCCCAGGAGCCTTATCATTATTTAAATTTCCCAATTTTTTCTTAACCAGCTCAGAATTAATGCAGTCATCTTGTTTGGTCTCGTTTCCATTTGTCAACTGTTCAAGATGTGGAATACTGCTTAAATCTTCATCAGTAAAAACAGAAGAAAAAGGAAAATTTAATAACCCAGTCATCTCATAACCATCAGATACTAGCCTTCCTTTATCATCCCTCAAGGGTTCTATCCTTATCCTAACATTTTGTTTACCCTTAATGTATTTAAAGAAATCCTTACTGTTAATTTTTACATTTTCAGTCAACTTTTTCTCGTACATCCTTTTTGATGTCCTAATTTCCTGTTTCACCAACTTTCTTGATCTTCTATAATCTTGTAAGTCTCCTGTCATACCAGTCAATTAAAATTTCTTAAACTTATGATGCTTTTCTTTAATTTTATTTGTTAAACTCTTCATGAATCAACCTGGTTTTTTAATTGTAGCCACTCTTGTCCTATAAGGAATATGTTTACCTTGAATATTTGAAAA